GACTTTAAACTGCTTCATTATTAAAAATCGCATGGCATATTTTGAAAGAGGAGAGGAGCAAACCCTGGTATCCTGGCTAAATTACTCTCTGAGCTATCTAGAGGGGCTACCTACTGTACCTGCTTTATGAATTTGCTGAATTCATTTTTCGTTTCTTTGCCTGTTCTGCTGTGTAGAGACTCCATGTGATATGAAAAGATTCTCCGATGGTCGCTAATTGTAATTAATTGTTAATTGAACCCAGGTGGGTGCTGCATTTAAGTGGTGGGTGAAGTGGGTGTCCTCCTACAGTATATGTAAATCACTCCTGAGAGCCATTGGGATGTAAAATGCTAAATATAAGGATTTTGTTTCAAGTACTCAAGTGCTTATTTTGTTATACTGTATCATAGTACACAGGAAATGGGTTTGTTGCTTGGATTGTGCGAGCTTTCATCCTAATTGACAGCCTGGGACTAGAGTCCTTTTAGGATTAAAAGATTAGAGGTGAGAGGCTACTAATTAGCTAAAGTTCCGTCTGTAATATTTTCATTTCCAGCCGTGGCTTGTTTGCTTTGGGATCATACGGCCCACCTAAAGTAACCATTTTCAAATTAGCTAAAAGCGAAGAAGCAGATGCAAAGAGTATCGCAGACTTTCAACTGAAAGCCTTATCGATGTGTTTATGTAAATGAAGATATTTTGCTTTTCAAGGGCTTAGAAAGATTACAAATGAGAGGAGGCCTTTTGGCCCATCTAGCACGTTTGATCATTAGTACCTACTTGATCTAAGTATCTCATCCAGCTGTTTCTTGAAAGTAGTCAGTGTACTGCATTCAGCAACATGACTGGGGAGCTTCATTGCTCAATACTCTCACAACCCTTTAGGTAAAGATGTGCCTTCTGTTCTCGGTCTTGAAAGCACTTCCACATAGTTTCCACTTGTGAGCTCTGTTCTTATTCATTACCATTATATATTGTTTTCACTACATCAAAGTTTGTGACCACTGATTTTTGAAAGGGCATTATTTTCTATGCATTTTAGGATGCCAGTATTTCTTTCTGTAAAGTCACTTCTTCACAGTTACGAATTACAAGTTGACAATTACAAAAAAAATATTCAATTATACCCAGTCTCGGTTTTTCAATCATAGAACAAAGGTGCACTGATTTACAATTCTAAGTCCTTTATCTGTAGAGTGAAAGTACTGTAAACTTCAATGATGCCTCGATATTTAATACTGTTTCACAACAACAAAAAACGAAGAGCATGTTATTTTCCTTAATTGAAAAGAAGTAGATGTTTTTTTAAAAAAAATAATTGGCAGATCCAAAAAAGGTTCACCATCCTGCCTTTCTATCCTTTTATCTGCAATTGCAATTGCCTTTAAATGTCCCATAGAGTAACTCCAAAAGATGCTGGAAGGCATTGGCAAATCATTCAGGTACTGTAGCACACTGTACTGCTAACCAGTTAAAGTAATGCTGGTGTAAATGGAATTGTACAGTGTGTATTATAAAGTATTTTGCTTTAATAACCAAAATACCCTGTCACAATCCAGTAAAATATTCCTTCATTGTGTTGAAAAAATAAATATTATTCTGTTGTTGAAAGAGAAGTGCACCTGTTTGACTTTTGAATAAGTACAAAACAGTAACTTTTCCTCATATACATTCAGCACTCTAAGAGGAATATATATGTCTTCAAGGCTCTAAACAATCTGGCCATATCACACTGTAGTTCTCCTGCCTGTTTAAACTCCCCCACCTTTGGCTCCATTCTATTGAGGCCAGTCCTCTGCTCACTGTCCCCATGTCATGATCTCTCATAATCAATCACTTAACCTTCCTACTGTAAACGCCGGCACATTCCCATTCCCATCAGACACCAGCTCGATCCAATTCTCAGAAACGACAGCGCACTAAGTAATCACCCTATCACGCCTCTCACCTCTCACCGCACTTGCTATTTATTCCTTCCTCAAGCCACACTTCATCGCTTGGAACGAAACAGCCTGCTGTTCTCCTTGCTCGTCCACTGGTTCCAAAACCTTTCTAAAGGTATCCTTTCGTCTCAGCCTTCTGGATCTCGACTCGGCCTGCCTCACTGACGCCCACCTTGCCCACCTTTTGGATTTGATGATAAGCCTTCTCTGTCTGCCTCTCAGCCTGCCTTACCGACACTGACCTTGTCTTGCCCAATTGATTTCATTCACTATCCGCATAGGGTTCTTCAGAGCGCTCGTATTACCCCAGGACTAAAGCAGGGACTTCTGGTGATCGTGCTCTCTCTGTCGCTGCTCCGGTATTCTGGAACGACCTTCCTTAGACCTTACGAGAGACGACTTCTCTAACTCCCTTCAAATCTAAATTTAAAACTTACAAGTACTTGTACCTTTTTACCAAGGTCTACGTTTGATTGCCTACAGTCAATTTGTGAAAACCTGTATGCTCTTGTTTTTTTTTTCTTCATTTACAGTACTTTTACTGTACTTGTCTTTTTCTTTATTCATAATGTACAGCATCCTTGGGTTTGGAAAGCTGCTTTATAAATAAAAGTTATTATTATTACAATAATAATGCACAATATTTGTCATTACATGATTACCCTGGATAGAAAATGCTATTATTGTGTTTTAAAGCTTTATCTTTCAATAGAATGGAACAAACAATACTGTTGAAAAAGAAGACTGATTCAGATTTCCACATGGTTATAAAGAGGGTTTACACTGGCTGATTGTCTTCTTTTAGCAAAGAATATTCCCAACAGACTGCACTGGAAGCTGCCTGCAATACTGATAACTTGTATTTAATCAAAGCGAAAAAGGAATGTTATTTGAATACAAAAAGACCTGCATTTCACTTATTATTACAAAAGTGTTTCAGATGTACTCAGAGTACCCTGCTGAATAAATGAAAGAGCTTTTCTGGGTGAAACACCCTTGTATATGAATTAGAAACCTATGTCTTTGGAGGCTAAGGTGAGAACAGTGTGAGGTAGATAACACCCGGTTGGGTCCAAGGTAATTTACCGGCACATTTACTGAAGCAGAAAAAAGAAGAATATACAGTAAGAAAGATTAGCTTTCTTCAAAGAAGCCAAGGTATCCAATTTAACAAATAGGTAACCTACTGTAGCTGAGTAAAGACACTTTACTGTTTGTGTTACAAAATTCCCCTTGTTCCCAGTTTTAAATGCATTTCTCTGTTAGTTTCCACTGGTGTCTATTTATTCAAAGGTTATTGTAAATATGGAATACAAAACCATGATCTTAAATGTGTGTACGAGTTAAGGACTGGATGAAATGTTTGGATTTTGGTTGTATGTTTTATTGGGTGCGTTAGAACAACTCTCCATGTTTAAATACCAGCTCCAAATAATCAACGAGAATGGTTATGCAAGAAGGAACAGGAACAAAACGTGGTCTGCCACATCAATAAATAAAAACACACACAAATCCTGTTTATTTAGAAATTGAATCGCTAAATGGCAGAAATTCTTTAGATTATAGACACCCCTGTAGCCACTGTTTTCAGCAACATTGGTGTGCTCTCTATGACTCCATGACTTGTTCTGCATAAGCTATAGAATGCAGTGCTGTTTGTCAGTCAATTTCTGGCTATCCACCCAGCTCCTGAAAGTTAGAACAGTACATTTCATTTACTACAGTTAGCACACTCATTGCCCAAAGCATATACAGTATAAAATATTTATTTCATAAGAGATCTGGAATCAAAGGGTACAGGCTTCTTGTGCACCTAGGTCATATCTCATGTGCTTTAGGTCCAGACTAGACTTTGAACAGAGATACGGTATGGTACAATACAATGGCAGAAATTAATTTATTTTCAATTCACAGCTCAACACTTGCCACCCACACATATGGTAAAGGTGGAAGTATCCTGAGACACATTGCTGTCAGAGGAGAGGACACAGAACCAAAGCGGTTGAATTCTGAATCAGAATGCCAGCACTTGCACAGGGCAAACAATCTATTGCATCTATAATGCGACTGTGCTGGATAAAGAACTTCTTAATAGATGCTTAAATGTCCAGATAAAAGCTGCTTCTGTGAACCTTTGTAAATGTACATGACTCTGAAACAGGAATACTTTTTATAGCTGTTTTAATTAACTGTTTGAGAACTGTGGTGAGCCAAGGACACCAGCTGCTCAAAACCTTGGTGTAACCCAGAACGTATAGAACTGTGCTGTATCTAAAATGAGCTGCAGCTTGAAATACCTCAAGAAAAAACTGGATCATGGGGCAGAATGTTCTTAGTAAGACACTCCCTTTGTTCACTTCAAAGTAGTTGGGTTCGTGGGAAAAAAAAGGAAGTTTTAATTGTTGTTGGCTAAAAAGAAACCATAAAACTCAGAAAAACTTAAAAGGAGAAAGGTATGAAGGTGATACAGATAGAGAGCTTCATTTCCACTTTGACAGGTTTAAGATGATTAGCATGACAGCTGACAGCTATGAAGATGGGGCCCACTTAAGGAATACTGTATTTCTATGTGAGAAGTGAAGGCATCCCTTTCTCTTTATTGTAGCATCTTGAATTGGGATAATTATTTAAAAAGAATGTTTGGTGACTTTCTTTGTTTTTAGTGCTGTAAAGAAAGCTTATGAAACATTCTTTCACTGAAGGAAGACTTGAAAGTTTAGAACTGGAAATTACTTCCGTAGAAGCCAAATGGAAAAATAGGGCAGGGCAACTCATTCATAGTGACATGACAATGTGAGGAGTTTTGAAAAGTGTGGTTTCTGCTGCATGCAAGAACTAAGCAGGTATCTTCAACACATTCTCTATTGTTACCAAGGCTTTTGAAATTGGCAGGAGCAGCTTTTCTTTTGAAGCTATGATGAACACAATTAAAAAACAAAGAAATGAATAACAAAAGCAGGCTTATCAGTATGTTTAAAAATGAAACTACTTCATCTACATGTTTTCTTTATGAGGTGGCAGAGCCCAGTCATTGGCTTTTTAACTTTCATAAATTCATTTTTCTCTCTTTTCTAGCAATAACTTCAGTGTAATTAAATTCCTGAAAGGCAAGACCAAGAGAAGTGGTTACAATGAGAAATCTCCATTGCTGAAAATGTCTTCTGAAGATGAAGGGTATGTTTCAGTTTTGGATTCTCTTCAGATTGAATAGTGGTTACCCCAGGTAAAGTTAATTCTAAGCTTGTCAAGCAAACCAAGAAAGCATTTCAGCATAAAATGTACAGTAGGTTTATGCAGGTCACATTTCTGTGGGTTTTGTGGAATCTTAGGGAAGACTCTGGATATTTTAACAATCTCATGCATTTACTGTTTTATCAAGATTTGGAATCTGGATGTTAAAATACTGTATATTTAGATCTTAAAAACAGCTGCAAGCAGAAAAAATGATGTAAGATTTAATTACTTGCTCTACAATTCTTCTGAAGATCTTTGAACCAAAACGTGTGGATTACTAGTCTTTTAGTTCTTTTCTCCTAAGCCACCGACTTAGGAGATCATGATATGTACTGCATTAACAGAGTTACAGTACTTAACTTGAACCTCCTTTTTATTTCTCTTATTGGAGGATAAGGGTGAACCCTGTTATGCAAGTTATTGTCACAGTCAGGGAATAAAATTGGAAACCTTAGGTTAAACAGAAGTCCTTTCCTTGATCTTTAAGCCCAGATTCTTCTCTCATGCAGTGACAGTACTGATTTATACTTCCCAAAGGCATTTGATAACTTTAATCTAAAGTATCACCCTGCTGTGTCACCACACTGTTCTAGTCATGTGCAATCCTTCTTGCAATGTGAGAAATGATCTGAAATTAGAAACGTAAATAACCTATTTCCCCTTTCATCATTGTTCATTTCTAGATGTAGAATATTAGGAATATTGGAGGTTACGAATCACAGACTCCATGCCAGTGCAGTTTTAAGAATGAAAGCAATTAACTCTTCAATAAAACCTCCCCATGACTTGCTATTATAGTCTGCTTCTATTTCAGCTTTCTGCTCAGAAAGCTATTAAATGTTATACTGCTCAGCACAATTTATCACTTCCCACTCCAAAATGCATAAATGGTTTTCCTGAGAGTGTTGACCTTAAGAAACCCTTGTCTACTACAGTTCTTGAAATCATGAGAAGAGTGAAAGTTGTAGTTAGTAGGTTTAACATTCATGAAAGGAAATGTATGACCATATGTCATTTAGAGCATCCAGATAAATCATTAATTCGCTCATAAAAGGTTAAAACAAAGGTGTTCTTCACAGTGAACTTCTACTTTTTCTTTAGCCATTTAGAAATAACTTGACAGCTGCATTTTTTATACTGTATTTTAGACATAGATTATTTCCATAGAATCAAAAGGTTGCAGATTTAAATGCTGCATTTTTTCAATAGATTTTTATTTCACATCTGATGCGGGTGAAGTAGCTTTCAAAATAGTAAGGACAGAACAGAGAAACATTTACAGAACTAACCATGATTATATGTCAATTATATATGAAAATATTATATGTCAGACTTTATCTCCATTATAATCTTGAACAATTGTGCCGCTGTATTTGTAGAGGACTAGTTAGTCAAAAAGTCTTCAGGTTTATGAAATATTAAACACTTAAAACAAGAATACACCCAAATTAAATGTGCACAGATTATCAGAATAATCCATAAATGACATTTTCATTTTTATACAGTTTTACGATTCACATTTTTTGTTTTGTCTTGGAGTCAGTAAAAACCAGAACTACAGTTTCATCTACTTTCTTGTAAAATGTAATCAATAGGTAAGTCATCTTTACATCCTGATTTGAAGAAGTCTGTGCATTGTCACTTTTTTAAATATGCTTCTGCGAAAAAATGTGGTGATTTGAAATTGGCTCGTGATTAATTTGTCAATTCAGCTCTTCAAACAAAATATTTTCTTCTTAAAATGTTAGAGATTATATAAACTCTGTGAGGATAAACTTTTGCTTTGGACAGTCAATCTGGAATTAACAGCTATTTGTCATCTGCCAGTGGTAAAATTAATCAGGAAACAACAGTCGGGTCAAAGACATGGTTAAAGAAGAACTGTAGGACCAAACCATATACCGGAAGAACTGTATCTGTTGTGGAAACTTATTTTGATCACCCAGATAAACATGACTTACTGAAACTTATGTAAAATATGCCTAATGCTGATTTAAATATTATTGTGTTTTCATCACATTTAAAAAGTGGCTTTACTTACTGTACAAACCCAAATACAGTACATGTGATGATATTCATAAGAAGTTTTTTACTGACTAAAGAAACATGTAATAGTTAACAGCTCTCTGTTGTTTTTTTCCCTCTCATGCTTTTTATTTCTGGGTTTTATGTCTTCACTCAGACATTTGCATTGCCTCCCCATTAATCACAATTTCTTGATATGCTTTAATACTTCTACGATAGCACCTGATACCACTCTCATACAATTTTCATGAGATATCTTCATTTGAGCTACAATTGATTATAATATCTGTCAGCTGAAATCAAATGCCTTGAAAAATAAAAGTACTCAGTCTTCTCTGTAAACCTTTGATATGACAGTAATCTATTTCCGTATCTTCAGTTCTTCGTCAATATTTATCTTGCATTTCATGGTCTTGACGTACACCTGTCTGAAAGAACAGCCTGTCTATTATTTATAAAAACAATTATATAATTATTTTCTTTTGTCCTTTCTGTCATGCTGCTCTGTATCCTTTTTATAGCTTTAGAAATAAAACAGATAACCCACATGTATCCTTAAATTACCATGATGTTTCTGATTGAGGTTCAGAAATTATAGATCCTGTCATCCTTTGCCATTTCTAATATTGGAAGTTTATCATATTTAAAAAAATAGGATTCAAAAACAGTGAGTTCTCTGCATGGGTATTAACAATGTGCTTGTTAGGATGCACCAGTTTCTTTCTTTAGGGTCAGATTTCAATTTAATTTTGTGCTTCCTTATTGTAGGTTAGCAGACTGTACAGGCACCTCTGTGATTGTATACAGCAAACAGAGCAATAGCTAATATGACCAACATACTGATGTTCCAGGGATTTTTATTAAATATTAATCTACTGTATGGATAGGATCATTTCATGAATACACTGTGAGTTTTAACCATTACACAGGACTTGTTACTTGTTACTCCATGTTTTTGTCACAGCAGAAGTGTTTTGTATTTGGTTTCCATTGTTCAGTAAGAAAACTCTGTAGACTACTCTTTAATACTCAATATCAGTAATATATGATTGAATGATGGAAGTTAACTTGGTGTTGTGGCATGCTTTGACTTGGATTGAGACTAAAGAACAGCTGAGTATTCATTTATTTAAATTAACAGAGCTTGGTCTGGTTGATTCTGTAGTGAACAATCTGGGCTTGTGCATCTAGCTCCTGACCGGAAGGTCCCGGGTTCAATCCCAGGTAGGGGCAAGTGATTTATCTTGCTCCAATTCCTTCCAGATGGCTCCCAGGTCCACTCAGCCTGCTTTCCAAATGAGTACCGGGGGGTTAATCCTTCCGGGGGTAATAGGCTGGCTGGAGTGAGATGCTGACCACATCACCTCCACCTCCAGTGTCGGATGGCTGAGAAAACTGGTGGCCCTTTCCCCCCATTCCCCATGGGGCTTTATGGCCTGAAAAGGGGACCTAACCTACAGTACTTACCATGTCATTTTACTAAATTTAACCAATGAATGCTTCTTTCATGTAATCAACATTGACATCATCTAGAAACATAATTTTCACTTAAAAAAAGTGAAGTACCTACTTGTTCTGTTTTTACTCCACAGTATTACTTATATGGCACTTCACGATCCCACTTTCACAAATGGAGATGAATCTTGGGAAAGCAGTTCTGCAGAGCTGGAAAAAAGGTGTCATCTTGGAAGTGAAGTTACAAGTCTTTCAAGATCTACTTCCACTGAGAAATCTGATCCACTGGATAACCTTAATTTAAACTTCACTCTGTCCAACAGTTTAAGGTAATCTTACTTTCTTCATCTACAAAAGTTGAATAGCATACTTTTGTTCAAGATGTCTGTGGTAACAGAATGTGAGCTGTAAATTGAGCCAGGGATTTGTACTTTAGTCCTCAGATACTAAACAGATCCTTTAATTAAATCAATCCATTACATTTTTTAAATATGGGAAGAAAGTGTTGAGATTTTTCTAATAAAGAAAAGTATTTTTTCTATGGAGCAACTGAAAAGAATTGAACCAGATTGTGCTGTTGCCCTGGTGTGATGGAGCGACACATCCAGCGTATAGGTTGTAAGGGAATCCATTCAGGGATTAATTTGTCCTATATAAGACACACACATTTGACTAGGTACAATAAATTGGTATTTAACCAACGTTTTGGTTCAATTTTTGATGCCAGTACTTAAATAGTTGGACATCAAACTCAACCAATTCTAACATCACATAAATAATCTTTACTTCTTAGTGCATAAAATTATACTTAAAATAAATATAATAAAATAGTAGGCAAAAGATAAAGCCTTTTTTATCAATTTTCTGAGGCCTACTGTAGAATAAGTATACTTATTGTATTTGGCAACAGGTTTACCACCTTGTAGCCTGATCTCTTTAGCTCTCAGAAGCTAAGCAAGGCTGGCCCTAGACAGTACTACAAGGACAAGAAATATTCAAGGCAAACTAGGTTGCTGTTACAAAGGGTTGTTGATGGCCCAGTTTGATGGCACTATACAGTAGGTACTGTAAGTATGAACCTACAGTAAATTCCAAATCAACACCCATACTCCATGCTAACAGTAGTCTTTGTGCCACAGAAGGTGTTTTTTTAATTAAACTACTGTAGTGTCCTCCTACTATAAAGAAAAAAATGAATAAACCTAGGGTGTACATTTTAAATGTTAATAAAATACATGGTTACAATGCTGGTAACTGAAAATTAGGTTGAAAAAATGCAACAAATGTGAATTATTCAAATAGTTCAAATGGTTTAGTAAAACGTTTACCCTTTACAGACAGATATTACCCCTGCAATATGTACTTTATACTGTATATTGTTATATTAAAAAAAAAATATCTCAGTGTCTATATCCAGCCAAGTTTTTGCCAGGAATAATTGAAGAACAATCCTATGGAGCCCTTAAAAATGAGTGTTGTGAATAACCCACTCATCTGAGGGCTAATCAATGTAGTGAAAGAAACATGTCGGATTGAATGCATTTTTATGGATGCAAAAGAAAAAACTATTTTTCAAGGCAGTATTTGCTCTTGCTTATAAACTAGCACATCCACCACATTTCTTTATCTAATCGGGTTAAACACCCATGAAACTGCTATGAATGTGAGTCTATCCTCAGTGTTCTCAAGTAATTTCAGTTTTTCATGCCATCTTTTGCCCATCCTCATACTGTATGTCTGGCATCTTTGGGCTGAAACAATTGAACAGAAGATCACTAGTTAAGAAACAGAGATGGGGTTGTGTGCTTGTGTGCAGAGCACAACTATTGCTCTGGCAGACCTGTCAGCGACTGTTTATGTGCCTGTCTGCTGAGGTATTGCTGAAATATGGGACTCTTTTGTCTTGCTTGCTGCAGCAAGGTGTCTGTAATACATGTCAGCCTAGGTTTTGCTGTGCCTGGAAAAGTGGAACAGAAAATAAATAAATGGGTTTTAAAAACAAGAGCATGAGGGTCTGTATCAGAAATACAGTAATCCCTGAACATAATTGTGTAGCTCTAATTGGGTATATAAAGTGGGACATCTTATTTTAAAGAGATTTAAATATTTTTGGCTGGATACCAAAGTACACAGGATAGGCCTAAATTGCTCAAGTGTGTTGCAAGTACAGTACCAAGAGCTTTGTGGTAATACTCCTCAAGCTAGATTTAGTTTTTTAGCCTGTACTGTACATTCATTATTCGGGCGCAGTGTTTACATATAACTGATTTGTAAGATCTTGAGCTTGAAAAGGAAAAAAAATACATATTGGTTTTCTTTGTTGCCAGTTTGCACATGGCGTAAGTGCTTGCTGTACCTGGACGTGACCTGGAAAATAATTGTAGGTTGGGATAGAAAGATTTGTTTTAGCAAATCTTTTCTAGATATTTATTTAGTTTTTTTTGGTAAATCATTGTGATGTTTTCCAGGTCAGTATTTACAATTTGCTCTTGTTTAAAACAAAATAAAGAAAGTAGACAAGATTAGGACCTAACCTTTCACCAAACTCCTGTTATAAACTCAATTTGCTACAGTTTTGTCACAGTAGTTGAAATCTACATGTTGATAGCACTTGCTTTGGAGCAATTTATCTCTTGGGTTCAAGCTTAACACACAATACCTGAAGATAGAATGATCTTCGTATTATCAGTCTCTCAGTATTGTGGATTGTTTTGAAGTATTTTATTATATACATAATGTAGCCTTAAAAAACTAGGAAAACATCATAATTCTTGAATCACGAATTATATTATTCATTAAAACAGCTAAATATTTTGATCACCTATCTTTCAAAAATATATTTGATAGGGGAAACAAAATTCTTCACAATAACATTATCACAAACAATATGCAGTTTTTTACTGAAGTAAACATGATGCACACTTTGCTACAGTAATTGTTTCACAAACATTGAAGAAAAGCTCCATATTCCTAGTGTAGTAAAGAGCATCTTCTTAAATTAGCTCAAATAAGTATAATTTCTCTTCCAGGTATTGCTTAAGCATTTGCAAAATATCCACTATTTTTGCCATCGTTATCATCTGTTCAGTAAGTATGGTTTGCAATGTTTTGGACATTTAGGACAGTATAACTGCCTGCCTGTTTTACTCTGGATATATTCATTTTGCTTGTTCTGTTCAGAATACTGAATATCATATCTGTGTTCAATTATTAATACAATGCGGGCACAAGACAGTACAATATCTTCCTTTTGTCATATTTACAGTTCTTAGACTGGTATTATTTGAGGGTACAGGACTCTATGCTGAATGAGTTAGTGCAGTAACAAAGGGAAAGAGTCTCAGTCTTGTACATATGTACTTAGGATTTTTGTTTGGGATATAGGACATTTTCTAATTTGGCAGGGTGTTTCACATTTCTGTGGAGTTTGGGATGTCCAGAAAAGTTAGTAAATAATAATAATAAGAATGAATCATTATTCCTATTACAAAGGTATACAGTTAATTTAACATTGCTTTTACAGGGGTGTCCTTTTTGTCCTCATTTCAGCTACTTTTCAGCATGTACCCTGATCGTGAAAGCCCCTGGCAAATGATTGCTGTTTCATCTGATGAACGCTTTTGTATCCTTTGTTTCTGATTATTTCAGAGGTGTCAGTTTTTTTTTCCCTTGTTTATGCTTTTTGTGGACTGGTGTGTGTTTCGCTGATGGTCTGATAAAGCCTGATAAGACTGACAGTTTAAATATACTATTGCAGACTCAGCCGGCTGCAGCACTTGTCTGATGGATGGAGTTTGCCAGTGTCTACTGATTTACTTGTCTTTTTTGGACAGCGATTCTTGGTATTACATTTGCGGGCATAAGGAATAGGTCACTTCATTTAAAATTATATGTTCATTTAAAATTACCATTTTGTTTACTTAGCAGATTGGAACGAGAAACAATGAGTAGCTTTCCAGCATTTCAATCTCACTACAGTATTTTGAAGCCATTGTAGTTTGGTAGAAATGGATAGTAAGATAACGTAACATTACACATTCAAATTATATTAGTGTCTTCTACTTGTAAATCCCCAGCTGTTATTTGTCCCAGGCTCATATAGAGGCTTTCTGGAATGTTAGGAAAAACAAGAAGAAGAAATCTTTATAAGATAACAATATGTCTGAGATTTAGTAAAATCCTCTCACAAAACCTAACAGAAAATGAAGAAGTTAATGTAGTTGGATACATGTGTACAAAATGAAATTCAGTGATTCTTCATGGCAGGTTTTCTCTTTCATTTTAACCAAACCCCAAAGAATAATATTATGCTGGTTTTTGTACTGTATGTTGCAAGTATTCTATATAAATATTCCTGTCTGTTCAGGAGGGATGACTACAACTTTAATTTCAACCGATTTCAATCATAATGATTCCTGTCGTACTTTCTTGTAAGTTATACATATCAAATTCTAATTCCTCTTTGTTGCGTTTTGTCATCCCTCCTCCTCCACCTCATCTTCACCACCGGGAACAGTATGGCTTGGTTGCCTTTGTTGGCTTAGCCAAGCAGGTTAAGTTACTGTACATGTCAGCACACTACAAATACTCAGTGAACAACCCCACACGTATCTATTCCATTGGTGTCATCACATCCTGTGAATCTGACCTATGTTAAAAATATTTTCACTTTTGTTTGAAGTAATTGCGCTAAATATTCTTTTGGTGAGAGAGCGTGTTTCACCAAATCCCCTGTCTGATTTAAAGTCTTGACATTGGCACAGACCCATCTTGCCCATGTATTTTACAAACCTAAATACTGCCTTTTGCTAGAATTCTCTTGCATTGTCCTCAGACCTGTGCTGTATACTGTATCCACTGAAGACATTTCTCATCAAAACTGTTAAATCACTTTTGTCTTCTAGTTGCCTTATAATTCGTCATTCTCTAGTTTCTACTGTTATTTTACTAAATTTGCTTAGTACAAGTAAATATTGAACCATCCAAAGCCTTATCAAACAACAGGCTTAACGTAGTACAATGCCTATATGATAATGATAATATCCAGATTCCTTATTATGCATGCAGGTGTCTTTGTTTTGAGAACATTGATACTATATGGTGAATATAATATTTTATTATGTCCTCTAGAAACCTAGTAGGCCGAGTCAGGCCAGGGGAATATTGGATTAATGGATGTTTACATTTGAAAGACAAGGCTATCAAATGTTTGCAAGTGTGTCCCTGCTCTGGTCAGTAAGTTCCAAAGTAAATGTTCTGAATGGTCAGTGTACTGTATATTTATACAATAATTATGTTTTGGAAAATAGAAGCATTTTGAATGTTCCAGGGATAAAACTGATAAAAACTGATGTTTTCAATAACATCATTCAAAAACATGCACATACTGTATAGTAAATTCAAATTTCTGCTTTTGCCAAGGTTCAAAGGAAACGCAGCCTTTTCGTGTCTAAATCAAGGACAGAGATTTAAGCAGACTCATTAGAATGAACTGGTCTACATACTGTATAAACTGATGGAAATTCAAGGAATGGAAGCTGTATGAGGCCATTATGGGTAGGTGCCGGATGCTGCCCAAATTTGTGACTTCGGTAACCCTTCTCTTCCCCCTGGGCCTCATACCGTACTTGATATGTGTGATCAAGAGTTGGTGTGAAGGCAAACACAGAGAACTGTCCCATAAAACTTACACTAATGTTATGTCATATCAAGCAATTGAACCACTTCTTATTCTGTTCTTCAATATGCTATTGCTTCCTAGTTGGGGGAGAGCAAAACTTATATCCTCTGCTCCCTAGAGCACACCTACCCACCAGAGACTGGCATTTCGGCATTAACGAAATGACCGGGATCGCAATTTGCAATGATTACCTGAAGCCCCAGAGCATGTGTTGGATGTAATTTGTTCATCACAGCCCTCAGAGGCAGAAAGCACTACAGGTGAGGCAAGGTCAGCATTCAAATGATTATCACTTAACAAGATCTCTGAGGAGGACTCATTAATATTCATTCCTTGAAAAGGCTGTCTACTTTTCTAATTGAGGTGTTCAAAATGGGTAATGGCTCTGACCATCTGCAAGAGGTACTGTAGCAGCCCAGACATGGAAAGTCATTTGTATTTTGTTACAGTGTTTGATTGTTATACAAAACAATGCAGTTATAAGTAGAAGAGGAAATTTCAAAGTTAAAGGAATGAGGAACTCAACTGTAAAACAGTGTACTGTAGTGTAGGCCCACCCATACACAGTTTTTACTTTGATAGTTGGCTCTGACCGTCTAGCATTCTCTCTTATACTAAATTTGAGAATAAGAATATATTTCACCTTCTGCATATGCTATGGGAAGCAAACTTCAAAGGGAAAAATGGATTTTCCCAGAGCTAATCCTGTATTCCCAAATGTAAACGGAAACAGTAAGCACATATGGTATCCTTTCTTGACTCAGAGAAGGGCACTGTTAAGTCTTGTTTAGTAATAAATTAGAGAACAGTTGGAAAAGCTTTGTCTGTTAGTGCAAATGTCATCTAATGAATTGGATAAAGTACTAAAGTACTTGTACGTCAACACAATTCAGTGAATTAATTATCTGTCACCTTGCTTAGTTACAGTGCATTTTGCTTAATTACAAATGAAGTACACAGTACACATTTTACAAAAAAGTGAATATTTTTAATCAAAATCTAATACACTCAGCCTGAACATTTTCATGAGTGAAAGATGTTAAATGTCAGCAAGAAATGCAAAGACCAATCAAAATACAACACAGTATATAGATTGCACAAATACAGTATACATGCCCTTTGCTAAATAAACCTAAGTTAGTTAATGTGCACAAAATGAACTTAAATGTGTCACACAATTAGTTGCTTAATCTCTGTGTGAAAGTGGTTGATTTTAGAATAATTACATTTTATAGCAAATCTACGACCAGACATGAAATTTGGTAACCATCAGTAAAAACCTGCTTAACTGCTTTTAACTTTTAAAATGTATCATTCATCAATTAAGATAAAAAGAATAGTTTAAAATCAACACTTTACTACTGTGGTTGTTATTCTGGATACAAATGGTTCTAAAAAAGCACCATAGTGTACTGAATGATAATATCCTTCATTATGTTAGAACTGCTTCTTGTACACGAATTATTGAAATTGACATTAATAATTTTCTTTTGCAGGTACACTGTGCAGAAGACCCTTTGTATTACACTAGTCAATACAGACAAATATTGGGGTGTTCCTTTGAAAAACAAGCTGAAATTTTAGGACACATTATATTTTGACATGATCTCAGTCATAATGTAGAAAAGAAATATTTTTTATAATTTAAGATTGTTTTGTAGTCATGGTGAAGAAGACAACAGCCCTGGGTTTTGTGATTTTGGTGGGAAAAAAGCTTGCTGAACACTTTACCGGACTCTAATGTCCTAATGTCTGACAATAACTAATGATTGGATTTTTTTAACAGACAGGGAGACCTTCATGTATCAGATCAATCGGATATTATTTGTAAAGTGGCATTTTATTCCTTGCATCTCTAGGTGCTGTGGAAAAATAACTTATAGATGTTAAGAATAAGATAATACAAAAATGATTTCTTATTTTAAAAAAAGGCAGAGGAAAATTTAATCTGATGCACACACATCCGAAGACAGTTCTGTCTTCTATTGGTCGCAATTAACCAACCAATTTGTGAGGTCAATTTGAATGTCATTGGCATAAAAATGACAAGCAGTACCATATTTTTAAAGTATTTGACCAAAGGTTAACATAGGATATTATTGCTGTTGTCCAATTACTGTTATTTGAATCAATTCTATCCTCTTCTCTCTGTACAGCATTTCATTTAACAGGGTGCAGGGGAGTATACGGGAAATTGCAATTTCAACACAGTGCTCACATTTTTAGGCGGCACTATGGAATCTTTTGAGTTACAGAATGAAAATACATACAGTAGTACAACTTTGTTAAATGTGTACTTTTTTTACTTACATAATGCCGCAATGAGCTGAATAGTTCCTTTATAAAATGTGATGTATTTTACAGTTTGCCTTTACTTCCAAGGTTACTGTCTTTAACAGATTGGTTCCAGCTATGAATCTAACAGAGTTCAGAGACAATGCCCTTTTAAAAGTCCAAGTGGCAGGACCCTTCATTGATAATATGGCTGGTGAGACAACGGAGGAGTACGTTGTTGTCCAGGTGGAGCAGAATGAAGAAGCTGGGTCAAGGAGGAGACGCCCCCAGCAGGTTCTGATGACCTATGGCATTGATCCCTTCAGTCTCTACCCTTCTTTTCCCCGGGCTGGCCAGAGATCAATTTTCATGATCATTTTCTTGTAATATATTATGCTGCCAGACCACTCCTCATTGCTGGTTCTGGTGACAAAACCATTGATTTCCCTATCGATTGGATTACTGTCACTTGCGTACATCATCTCTGCTGCTTGTTTTTAGGATTCAGTTGGTCACTTCTGACTTGTAAAAAGTGAAAATGAAAATTTATACAGATTAAAAGAGGAAGCTAAGTAATACCGTTTTAGATAAAACTCTTTAAAACTGAGCCAAGACTTTGCTGAATTATCAAGAAATGGAGTGAATGAGACCAGTAGATTGACTGTTGTGTTATGTAATTTACATCATAGTACCCAGAATGGCATATCTGCTAGAAATGTATTGTAAAGGTAAATGAAAAAGAAAGGTTTTCCAGTTTGAGAAAATAATGATTCATTATTGGTTCTGAATTGTATTCTACTGTAAATTTGATATGTAATATAAGACACACATTAATCCTACTTCTAAAGCAAAAAGTTAGTTTGTTTAAAAAACCTCTTAGTAAACTTCACATGAGAAAGATTTACAGTTTTTCAGAGCTGCTCAGAATGTCTTGTCTTGGTTTGGTTTTCTTCTTGGTGGCATCTTGTTACAATTCCCATGTGAAGCTCAAGATGTGCTTGGTTCTTGAAGCTGTACCTACAGTAGATAAAGCAAACAGACCTTAATTAGAAATAACATGCAGTAATAACATATACAACATACCATACACAAAAAGTGAGAAAGGTACAGAAAAAAACACACACAAAAAAGAGAAGCTAGTTTTGTTCTTTTGTGCGCAGGTACTTTACAACTGGACCATACCAGTAAATTCCCAAAGAAATGATCAGATACTGAAAACTAGGACCTTTGAGGTAACCAACAGGTAGGTTTTATATTGCACTTGACAACAAATATATATATATAATTGTAGCTAAACAATGAACAGTGGGCTGATACATACTGTATTTTTTCATTAAATATTCAACAGAGCTTTCCACAGTGTCTATGAAGGATATTGTATATCAGTCCTTAATAATAGTTGAGAAGGTCATCTTTGTTCTGGGGATCTCATATTTCAGGATGAAATTCCTTTATTTACCCTTCTATTTTCATTCAGACTTTCTCTTCAATGAGATAAACCAAATCATAAAAAACATGGAAACACATTAATGGTGCAGGTGTTAATGGAAGAATTTTGTAAAAGCCCAGGAGCAATTTTATAGCTGTTTTTGTTTTGTTATTTACAGATACTGCATTTGAAAACACTTAAGTGAAAAAGCTCTGTGTAGTGTTTAAAGTCTTACCTGACAGACTGTACAGTGTGTATTGTGTAAGAGCAGGAAAATGCAGCAAAATTGACAACAGAGACCTCTGTTCATTATTTTCTTTTGCTTGTCTCTGCAGTGGCCCCATCTCTATAAGCATCCAGGCACTTCTGCAGGACACTCAGGTTGTTCCATTGTCGATGAGCCTTCAGTCCCTCTATGCCAGTGTGGAGACTCAAGTTGTAATCGCAGGAGTCATCCTAGCTGGAGTTTATGCTCTTATTATATTTGAGGTAACAGGTCACTTATTTAATCTGTGCATCTGCTGACCCTGTTCTCTGTTTTTTTGCCCACTGTTTCACTGTTCCAGTTGGTACATATCTGGAATCTCATCCAGAGGCTTGTCTGTACAGTATTTCTAACTTTGAAAGCGCAACTTACTGGACTATGAAAAAACAGAGATTTGTCTAATTAGTGGATGTGAAGTTTCCATCTTCAAGCTGTGCTGTAGAGTTTAATTATTTTTAAACCCTGCCTTAATATCTATATCTGTAGAGTTTTCATTTTGGTAAATGTATTATTTCTCCCTTCTCCTTAAACATCTCTCTCCTCAATTAAAAAAAATCTTATTTTTAGCAAAAATAAACAGAGAATGTTGTATGGCAGAAGATGTCTTTCAAAGTGAGGTTCATTTCAGTTTTACCTTTAGCTACAGTATGCATGGAGTATACATTAATACTGCTGTATTCTTGCTACAGGATTGCTGCCCTAAAACACCACAAGTGAAACATGCCACAGCTCATGTGAAATCTGGTACTAGACTTGTCAACTTGCTCACCACTGGGTGGTGCTAAGGTTTACAGTGTGAATGTGTTGTTGTTTACTGATGGTTTTTACTTAAGCCACGACCCCGAAAAACAGTCTGGCATTATATAATGAGGAACAGAGCAATATTTATAATGCTTTCAGTTATTATTTTTATAAATAGACATGAATTGTACTGAAGATGCCTGGATGAACTTTAGAAATGTATAAAGTTCACTTTTGCAGCTGTAGTACTAGTGTGAGACAATGTGCCCTTACTGCCCCCCCTTTTTAGAACATAAGTGTGAAATGAGTTATTATACACCTTTGGCTTTATCTTTACCAGGAAATAAAAATCAGGCCAGGTATTTATTTGGTACCTTTCACCTTGAATTCTTCACTACTACCTGCATTTGCGTAATTAAAACACGCAGAGTTACAACAGACAGCTTTAAAGTTAAATCAGGACAGTAATATAATTGCCGTCAATCCTCAACAATATACTGTACGAGTACATTCTTGGAAATTCTGGAGAGTATGCCTTCCTTTTTAATCAAATGAGCCGTTGTTTGCTTTCTAAGTTCTTTTATTTCTTCTTAATCTGCTCCAGTTCATTGCCTCAGATTGGTTTTCTTTTCCTTTTTCTGATAATGTATAAAGTATAATGTATAAGGTAAATGTATTATGTTGTTTTTTCTTAGTGTTATTTGTAAAGACATTGTCAAATGTCTTGAACATTCATTTCACTCACTATCACAGCTCATACTAACAATAGTTTTATTAGGGTAGTTATAGCTGGCTTGAAGACCTTAAGGTAAAGAATAAATATTTCAATCTGTTATGTATTGAAGCTAATTTAATCACAGCAAGCATTTCAAACACTGTTCGGATACAGTGGATACTGCAGGTGGCCTTATTGTAACAGAATATTTGAAAGACAATGCTGTAAAAATTAACATCTCTGCTTAATCACAATGGTGGTATACATTTAATTTTAAAACTATAAATGACTACATTGTTCTTCCTCTATGGTTTCCAGATGTCCAAGTTCTGAGGCATCTGTAGAAAATTTCAAAACAAGTTTTGACTTTGGTAAATACATGTACTTTTGGTACAGTAGTTACTGTTTCTAGTTTTGACAAATTGTCTTTGATAAACAGTACAGTATTTCAAATCCAGTGCTATTGTGATTAAACAGCATTAAGGGATTCTTTTCAAATCTGGATGGCAGTTAAAGAAATACTTCTTGTTAGGAAAACAATATTGCCACCTGCCTGGAAGCAAAAACAAAAGAAAAAAAGGACACAGCTCTTCTTCATTGCTGCCTTAGAGGAACACCATGACATTATGGCAGCTTCCAGGCATACTGTAAGGCCGTTTGCAATTAATAAGAGTGTGCTTAGGGACATAGAGGTAAATCCATAACCTAAACCACGTGTTAACCAACTTTTCTACTTCTTGCTGAGTAAACCTGTGCATTCTGATGTGCTGTAATGTAATATTATACAAACCACTTACAATAGCTGAGACGTTTCAAAACCTGATTTTTTCCCCTTATTTCCCCTTCTCAGTGGGTGCTGCTTATGCACGTGTTGTTTTGTTTGACACTTTTTGTTTTGGTGATTTACTGTATATTGATTGAGTGACCCAGTTTGCTGACATTTTAGCGATTGCATAAACGTTCAATAAAAAAAAATGCGAGTCAGTTGTAATTGAACTGACATGTTCAGCATTTCCTTTTCATTTTTAATGCTGGATTCCACATTTTAGAATAGGACATTGTGTCTCTGTGGATTTAAATTGTTTAGACAATAAAATGACCCATGAAAGGTTTCCATAGTATCTTTGGTTTTCTGGGGCCTTCTAAATACTAGCTGTTTACTTAAGAAGTATCCCCAGAATTTTCTGATCATCTTGTTTGCTAGCAAAAGGATGAAAGGAACAAAATCCAGCAAAATGAGAAATAAACTACATTTTCTTATGAATTATTCAATATTTAATGCTTACATAATCTTCAGTGCATTTCAGTAGAACCGTCCAGGTGTACTCATTGTATATGTGAATTGTATATAAATGTACAGGCATGTATTTTTTGTCATTTATACAATTAAAAGAAAATCGGTGCAATATCATTTGCGAGAGAAGTACTCAAACCATGTACCAGAGACACTGGAAACAGCAGGTGTCCTTATGTACTGTAAGACAGCTGGCACTTTTTCTTCACAGTCAGTGTTTGTAACTTCCAAGGTCAATATTAAGCTGCCTTTTACTTGTCTACCTCTGATTGGATTGTAGCAATGACAGGTTGGAGTGCTCATTTTGAAGTCCAAACTAATTGAATTTTCTGTAGTTCCCGAAAATAAATGATAAGACTATGAAAAACTGGCTAAATCACCTGCTGGAATATGATATCATGAAAAGCTGCAATATGCTCGTAAAAATGTCAGGGCTCTCTTCCTCCCTTTTCAGAGTTACCTCCTGAATGAACTGGACAACAAACTGTGCACAGTGCACAGCTCGTGCACAGAAAGAAACATGCGCTTGTTAGTTTGCATGAGCGTGAGTGATACTTGTGACTCAAAGTGTGACTATGCCACAATTCATTTAAGCAAAAAGACATTCTGGGCATGTTGCTTGCAGGAACATCACAACATAAATTTATTAGGGCATTCAGTGACCATCTGATCGCTGTTACTAGACTCTGGTATCGTTGCCAAGTGACCTATGATTAGCCATGACCTGCATAACTATGAATAATTTCACATTAGGGACAGATATGGGATCGTTTCCATCAGAGCATCAACTAAATCTGGTCCCACAAATGGGCTTCATGGAGTACCCATAAACCTGATTATAATCATCAGATGACTGAGAGCTGCCAGTATTTGATGCAGGTGCTGCCGAATTCGTGACATCTTTACTCAATATCAGTGGGCTGCATGACTGACTCGCTGATGAATCCTTGTTCTGTGTCTCATTTGGCAATGGGTGAGCATCTGTTTGCAGGTGAAAATAATGTAAGGTTTGCTGAGGTCAGTGTTAGGAAAAAATATTAGTTTAGTAGTGGTAGTGTAATGGATTTGTGGTTCATGAATGACAGTTTTTGGAGTTGACTAGATGCTGTTCAGAGTACCCTTGTCATACAGTATTCTGCGACCAATATTTTCTGAACTAGGCTCCACCTGTTCTTAAAGGAACATCAATGTCAGTTCAATCTTTTTTTCACCAACTGGGATTAGTGTTATGTCCTGGCCCACTCTCTTGCTTGATCTTAACCTAATCAAGTACCTGTAGTATGAGCTGTGTAGACACATACATCCCATAATGAAGCTGATCTGGCAGTTCATTTACAGATTGAGTCGAGGAATGTCCCTGTGGTCTGCATGCAATGTCTCTGACAATCTGTGACAAGCTGTGTGCATGCTTGCGTTCGCTTCTGTAAATCTGCCTGACTTGAATGCACTATGAGGCTCATAGCACATGTAATTTTTAGAGGTGTCTTGACAGAAACATTAAAAAATGAAAACTTCTTGTTACAGCTGTAATTTAAAGAGCATACCCAACTTTATATGTATAGAGTTATATGTTTATTTAATGTTTATCTTGAATTGGGGGTTATGATTCTAAATACAGTATACTGTACAGTATGTGTTATTTTGGTGAGCATAGTTACAATACCTAAGATTATACAAGACACCTACTGCAAAATTTGCAGTCTTTAAGGATTTAATGCCTTTTCCTTCTCATGGCTGTTTCATTTTTTGGAAAAACTTAAAAATGGCCCATCTTTTAAAAGAAAAGTTTGGGTACCTGAGAAAAGTCATCAGGAAATGTGAGATTCATTGTCAACCTATATATAATGTTTTTCACTTTTGTTCATGTTCCAAAAAATTGACTGAGATGGAACTAAGGAGAGAGCTCCAAATACTTTAATACATGCTAATGTAGTCTCACTCATTCATGTCAGTTAAAACTTAATTTATATACAAGAAAGAATATATTTAAATATATTTAAAATACTGAAGAATTTCTGGACAGTCAATAAGAGGCTTGGTGACAGTGAATTTTAATGAGTATGATATTGTTTTCTAATCTTTTAAGTTCAATATGAAGAGTGTTTTGGAATTAGGTTATCTGGATGTTATTTCACTCTGCGTAGTCCTCTCTATCTTCTAATGAGGCCTCACATCTTCAATGTGATGATTATGAACATCTTGAATCGCAATTCCTCCCCATTGGTATCAATTTATAACAGTGAGAAATTAAAGTTCAGAGATGTCTGTCATTAGTGCTGCTGCTGCTCTTTTACTGAAGTCTTTTCTGTTCCTAACCACTCTTGAGTGATTGCACAAGCTAGGAAAGAGGCACTCCTGCATTATAATCAGTCAAATATCAGCAGCCTTGGTTAAGGAAAGGTCCAGAAAGACAAATATGCTCCAATGTTGAATTTTATGACATGTCTTACCTTGTTACTGCATTCAATTTTAAAATGATTTATTTGTGCTTTAGTAACTCTCCTCAATCCAGATGGATTTTATGATATGTTTTATTTTTCTAATGAGATTGACTGCTGTGGAAACTCATCAGAGGAAGTAATCTTGAAAAAAGGATGCTTGACGCAAATGACCAAAATCTTAATAATTATGTAGAAAAGTAAAAGATTTTATGTTCATCACTAAGAGAAATGTAGATAGGGGAATGGTTTTACAGATTATGTGAAAAACATGACAGTTATGATCAAGGTACAAGTATGTCCCAATTATAGAGTGAAGATGTGTAAAGGCTAACAAAATCTGCAACTCTAAAAATAAATATGCAACTCTAGGAGAAAAACAGGCTTCACAAATGTAATTTATTATGTTGTGATTTAGCAGTTTTTATTACTTTAAGGATAATCACATACACGTTATGGGAGACATTAGCAGCCTAATCATCTTCACATTTTATCCACACAAATTATGAGAATCTGTAGAGGACCTATTTATTACATAGAATTATCTTCATAAAATCCCTTCTAATATAATTTGGGGATAATGTTGTCTGACAATTTACCTAATTTATTTTGTTAAAGTATGAGACATCTGGTATTATCTGCACAAAACAAACTAACCCATTTAAAACAAAATGAAGAAAACAGGGTTACCCTTTCAAAGAGAAAAGTGATGTTAACTGATTTTCAGGAATATATCAGTTAATATCTTTTATGGACTTCAAAGCCACAGCATTCTGTCTTTTTCCCCCTACTAGTGCTTCTGTGTTTGCTCCATACTGTCATCCAGGTTTTCCGGCACAATTCAGCTTTCAGGATGAAAGAGTCTTTTTCCCTGAACTGGGTGTATAATCCTAACAGACTACATAAGCTCTGGCTTCTGGGTCACAATGGATCCAGATAAGGCTCACAATGTTCTGACCTATGCCCTTGCATCTGGGTGACATGAGTATTTATACTGTATTTAGGGTATTTTTGGGCGAGCAAAAATCTGGAAAATCGTACAAGGTTGTTTTCCATAATAAACATTGCGAAATCAGTGACATGCTGTAGAGAGAATTTGTTTCTCCCTGTTTACGACAACAACCCTGTTGGTAGAGTAAATCATTTCCAGGACAGGATGCTTTAAAGGTGACAGCAATGTTCTTGTGTCTCTGCAGATTGTTCACAGGACCCTTGCTGCTATGCTGGGATCTCTGGCTGCTTTGGCTGCCCTGGCTGTCATTGGAGATGTAAGACTCGAAACACCTTCTTGGTCAGATCTCTTAAAATTCAGCTGGGGATGGGGGGTTCTTAAAACAGACCTTATACTTTTCCCTGCTTAATGAATACATTGGTAAACTTATATTTTGTTCTGTTCTCAAAACCCAGTTAGCTTGTTTTTGCAATTAGAGGCTGAATTAAAAGCTCTGAACCTCAGTTCAATGCCAAATGTTTTTTTTTCTTCTTCATTGTAATGGTACCAGAGGCAGGGCACGCTCTGCAGGTGTGCCATTTGACTTCTTCCAGAAAGAAACAAATTCTTTGAATGATTACTGTTGCCTGCATTTATTAACTAGTAATACAACTGTAGTGTCCCATGGTGTTACAGTGGACAGTAAGTCACAACAGTGAATAAAAGTTGTATGCCCTGCAGCAGGTACTGAAAAGAGGGTGTGAAAAAAGTTTGAAGCAACATACAGCAGTTTGTACATTTCTTCATTTAAAGCTCTTCTGCCTTAATTGTTCACATCTTTCTAAAAGAGACTTTGATTTCAATTGACTTATTTGGTTAATTACACATATATTCAGACCTTCTACTGCAAAGGACTAAAATATCAAGATATTAAGCAAATGCAGACAAAGTCCAGTCAACATGCGTACAGTAGTGTAAACGGCTGTAGTAAAACCTGGGAAAGATTTTTCTGAATCCTGCTGTTTGCTCTTTAAGAATTGCAGTACATAATGATGACCTGTTCAAAATAAAACTTGCTCAACTTGGGATTTTTTAAAATAAATATTAATTTTGCACTACTTATTTTAGGTGTCATACTGTACATACAGTACTGTAGTACTGGAAACCTTTAAACAAAGACATGGCTATAACTCCAATTTGGTCCTTTAGGCTAAATACATCTGAGATTTTCTTTACTTGGTTATCCCTTGTATTGTAGATCAGTAAATGAATGTTAAGTAGTGAATTCTGCACCATTGCACAATTCAACAGAGAACACTGAATCTGTAAGAACAGTTTTCTGAAGACCACAGGCATTTACTCCCAATACATTCTGTAACCCCCTACATAGTATGTAACATCACTGACATTCTATGTCAGGGAGGGCCAACACCTTAGTCTTACAGTTTTTAATACATTTCCCGAAAATTATTGGAATAGTGAATGATTACCTACTAGTAAATTAGTTCACATGGGAAAATTAAGAGGAGCACATTGGTCTTTGAGAATTTCATTTTGGGTACCAAAATGTCATGGTTGTCCATTAGCATTTCTGTACAACATGTCCTGTATGGTGGATGAACGTGCCATAATTTTCTACACAGTTAAAAGTAATTCAGACAGAGCTGACATTAAAGATGTGCATGTCATTCTTTGTTTGCAGAGACCAAGTCTGGTAATGGTGGTGGAGTGGATTGATTACGAAACACTGGCACTTTTGTTTGGCATGGTAATTAAAATCTTTCAAGCATGGCATGAATTAAGCGAGAAGAAATATATTTAGTTGTCTTGTTTCATCTTATATCTTTTTGATGGTGCTGTCCTCAAAGACTTGAAATGGTTTTACCTTGAATATCTGCAGTAGCCACTGAGAGCGAAAACCTATTTGTTACACTTTTTCTGAAACAGCTGAATTATTGTACAAACACTGCCTCATCTGAGATCCAGCAAGGTTCAGAATCTGTCTCCATGACAACAAACAAGCACAGCCACTTTAAATGCAAGATGGCTGCTTGCGTTGAAAATGTCTTGTGGAAAAAAGAAGGGGTAGCTGTGAAAAGAAAAATTACTTGCACTTAGACTGGGCCCGCTACAGGAACAACATTTGCTGTATATTAAAATTTTAAATTTATTTAAAAATATTTCACTTTATTGTAATATTGATCATTCTAATAATGATTTAAAATATGATTATTTTAATGTCTTTGCTGATTGCTTTTCAATACAATTGACTGCATTTGCTAATATATGACAGATTTGTTATTATGGTCTTTATATGAACAAAGCAAAACTGGTACAGTATCTTTGAAAAATAGTAAGACAACAGGGATCATTTTCATAGAAACAACTCATTTTAATATTCATTAAGAAAAAAATCACAGTTTGTATCGATCGTAGTCATACAATATGCATTGTCTTAATTATGTTTCCCTCAGAATTGGCTTCATTTATTTTCAAACTAATCTAGCAAGAAAATCTGAGATAGTCATACGTGTGATTGCTGCAGATCTCTGACATTGTACTAAAATTGTATAGTTTTAAGAAGAACATTACCTGCAATAATTATTGCACCATATCTGTTCCATATAAAAACAAAATCAATCCAAAACAAAACCCTATGCCTAAAGACAATATCTGAATATCATGATATATTAGGGAAATTAGGATATTTTGATGGCAGATTACTGTGCTGAAAATCATGCGAGTTTAAAACTGATACAAAGATGATACAAACACATTAGCTAAGAAACAGAAAAAATGGCTAAAATACTTTTCTTTTTGGGATTACTAGCCCTTTAGTGTTTATTAGGCCTCTAATCTTTAATGTCATATTTAGGCACTGTTAGAACAGGAATCCATACCACATCAACTCCATAAATGTGAGCAATTTTTTTTTCTTTTGCTCAGATAATACAAATATGACTCGATAGCTTTGTATAGATAAAGATCTAGTGTAAGCACCGGGGTACTAGGATGTACAGTATGTTTAACTATGATAGGGTGACAGGCTTCTCAGTACTGAATTGGGAGTGTGTAATTGAACAAATGTTAATTTTTCACCAGGTAATGAATGCCACAGCCTTCAGGGAAAGCAATGGCCCCGCTTGTTCAACTGTTTTTTTTCTCAGCAGTGTAGCCTTTGTAAATCTTGGCATTACAGCTGGGACTCTGAAATTAATTCTGCGCAGGAATCCCAAGACAAGTGTATTTGCCGAGGGGACAAGCATATAATTATTTTAAACAATCTGAAATGATTAATTAGGACAAATTACTTTTTCATGTTAGGTTATCGGAGAAGAAAAGAACAGGAATTACAGTTTACATTGGATGTTACAGATCGAGAAAACCTATCATTCATAATTTACCATTTTTACCAATTTTCTATATTCTGTTACAGGTGGTTGGTCTTAAAAGCAAGTTCACCTGTTACCACATTTGAGATACTCTTTTCAGAGATATCCTGTTGTTTATTGGATTTACTTGTGACTTGATTTACACTACTTGTGACAGTAAATAATTACCATTTAATGTTTTACCTTTTTAAGAATGGTGATATGCTTTTCTAGATTTTTTGCAGAGACTGAAATTGAAAATGAAAATAGGGATACTTTTTACATTTGAATCATTTGAAACGCAGACCAAAAGGCTATGAAATTGTGTAAGATTCAAATGGTTAAAAACTGTACATGCATTCTTCATGTGCCAGTTTACTTCCTGGGATGTTTATTTACATATATTATGTTAATCTACATGTTAGAGAGGAATTACATAAAGCATTATGGATTGCATTTATAGTGGTTTTAAAAAAATACTTTGTGTTTACTCAGATTTCTTGCAATGATAATAATGATGTGAGAGATATTAGATCTATTAGAAAGCTGAAATTAATGATTTATCACTGTGAAATTTCCCTAGTACATGCAAAGTACATACTGTAACCAGTATTGTTGTTATCCACCCCATAAACAGCCACTTAATCATAGGTCAGATGCAAATTCATAGTGTTTAGTCTCCTGTACCTGATTAATAATAACAACCTGTACTTATTAATTTCTTGTGAATATACAATATATTTTATTGGAGTAATTTTAGTTCAGCATATGGAATCTGTGATCTCAGTGTGAATCCATGGTAGTATGGAAGTGAGGTAGGACTTAAGGTCACTCAAATATTCTCATACTGTACGTCTTCAGAATAGAAGAATCATATAGGTAATCACAATTTGGTTTTTGACTTCCTTTAATTATGTCCTTATCAGATGAGACTGATTGTGAGTGCTTCTTAAACAGATAGGGTTATTTTCTGCAACCTGTAGACATGCTTATTTTTTAATAATCTAATAAGATGTTTAACTCTTCCTTGTTAATTTATAGCCCTATGTTTTTTACAGATGATTTTGGTGGCAATATTTTCCGAGACAGGATTCTTTGACTACTGTGCAGTAAAGGTAAACCAATGTACTTTGTGGGGGGGTTGAATTTGAATAGTGGAACCTTTGTGTTGACTGATGTCTCAGCTGGGGTTAGGAAGTGTAAATATTCAAATCTTTTAAATAAACCTAGAGCTTTATAGGTGTTTCCATAGCTTCAGTCAGCACTATTTCTTTTACATGTGCTGTAGATAATTTTTATCATTTTTTATTCAAGAAATATTTATTCAGTCTACTTGAAGTTGGACTGCATTCCAGAAAGTTAAATCAGTCCTAAAGGGTTTGCAAAATACATTTGTTGCTTATGATGCACTAAACATGTGTCCTGTGCAATGATATTTGAGTGGTGATCAATTTTAAAACCCCTGGAATTGTGAAAAGGCCTTCCTAGAGGAAATATAGCATTTACAGTATACTGTATGTTCCAGCTTAATCCCACAGAAGAAGGGATTTACAGGCTACTTTTCTTCTTCTGTTGAGGATCACGGAAATCTACCATGATGAGCTACATGTAAAATCATTGACATTTGCTGTCTGTTGCAGGGCCATAAGTCCTGTTTTACTTTCAACTCATAGTACTAAGTTGAGGCCCTTCATAGCGCCTGAAAAATGACATTTATCAGACAAATTCTGCCTGGACATGATAAAAGTATTTAAGTCACAATCAATATGCTTTATGGAGTATAAAGCTGTTCTACATAATGTTGGCTCATACTATTCGGGCTCCAGTATGATGGACAATGGAGTCCTGATTTTCAATCTTGAATAAATACCAGTGGGGCTTCCAAGTAGCTCAGCTTGTAAAGGTGCTCACTCTGTGAATGATATTCCCCAGATGGCTTAGCACCACCAGGGCCATTTGTGATTAATTTGCTCTTCTTAGCTCTCAGCTGCTAGAAAAGGGCGACCCTCAAAACTTGCTCAGTGCCTGCAGGATTTCACCAACATCAGTGAAACTCATGCTGCTTCTCCAGAAACACTAACTCTCCTGTCAGGCACTCTGAAACTTGTAACATGTAGAATTATGAATGAGGATGGAGCGCTTGTAGATGATACTTTTATCATTTGTGCCCGGGCAAGTACAAGAGACAATGATGATGACTCGTAAAATATCTGAGGAAATTTGGTGGACATCTTAAAAAAAAACAGGTATAGAATAGATACTCCTTTCTGATTGATGCATGTGTCCATAACAGATACCTGTTATGGTATGCAGTAATTCTGTTGATGATAAAATATATATAACAAATTAATTAGGGATTGGAAAATGATGCATATGCATTGACCATTTTAAGAAAATCATTTACTGTATTTTCTTTAACTTTGCCAAAATGCACTAAAATCTGGTCCATTCCAAGAAAATACATTAAAAGCTAGCAAGTCTATTTTGTCCACATAATTCTTTTTAAAATAGTCTGGTTTATTAAGTTGTATTTGCATTTTTAATATAGAGTATGATTTATATTATTTCACTGTTTTTTTTATATGGTTTATGCAAAACACAGTATTCTGAGTACTTAGATCCAACTCCATAAGTCCAAAGGACTAAAACCTTAGTCCTTTATCTGAGAAGTAAAGTAGGACAACCATCAAGCACAGCTTCTGGGTTTGCATGTATCGTTTTCCCTTTTGTCTTAATTGTTTCTTAATAAAAAAGGAAAATCACACAGATCTAAACCATTTATTTTTCAAGAAATCAGAATGAAAGTGCATACAAAAGGTTTACAGCTATTTCAAGCCTATTACAGTACTGTACATACTGTACCATCCACAATCTGTGCTTTATGAGAGCTTAACCAGCAGCTACCTTATCAGGGATAGGTGACAGCCCCTGGTTTATCAAATTCACAATCACAGGGAACAGCACAAGGCTTTCAGTACATTCTGTAGGCAACTGTTTCAGATTGTTTTTTTTTTAATTCCTGCAAAGTATAATCAAGTTATGTGGCAGTCCATGATGATAAAATTTAATCATTTTTCATCATTCCATCACAGTGATCTTTTCTTTATTTAGGAAAGCAAAATTAAAAGTGTTTGTGTATCTTCTTAGTAACTTTTTAAATTAGATTTAAGCATTAAATTAGAGCTAGATGACTAGTGAAATATTGATTACTGCTGAGTTTGAAGCAGCAGGGGCTAACCTATTAACATTTTAATGGTATGTCTTTTCCATTCAACCAAAAGTATCTGTGAGTGTTATAAAGTTAATTTTTGATTTTTCTGCATTCTCCTCACACCAGTTCATCTTGGCAGTTGAATGAGGTTCAATAAAACAAACATTTTCTATAGGTTTTGCATGGCTGGTTGTTGGAATATTTAAATGAGATTGTGAAGTGTTAGCAAGTGGTCTCTTGAATACTTATTAAACCAGCAGCCTCTATAGGAGCACCCCACTTCATAGACAGCTGTGTTACAGGAGGAAGTTTGATAGTAATTTATTGCACTTTGCTATGAGATTAAACTCTTTGAGAAAACCTATGCATTTTCTGATCATCTTAATGATGGGATTGTCATGCATGATTGTCCTAAGCTGTTATCTTAATGCCCCTGTAGGTGATGAGAGAACAGCCCAGCAATTGTTCATTTGAGCCTCCAAGCTTATAGGTTGGGGACTAAAATAATTCTGCAGGAATTTCTTTATTGTTTGAGACTGATATTTCTGGGAGGGGTGAGATTAGTGCATGTTGGGGCGATTTAGTACTACAGCTGAAGAACAGCTGTGTAAATTTGACTAACTGTTAGCAGTCAGGAAGAGTAATGCTCCTTTGAAGACGCATAAAATGTGAGTGTCTCTTTTTGTGACTCCCAAACTCTTTTTCTATAGGCTTATCAGCTGTCCCGAGGAAGAGTGTGGCCAATGATCATTATCCTGTGCCTCATTGCAGCAATTCTTTCGGCCTTTCTTGACAATGTTACCACAATGCTACTCTTCACCCCAGTAACTATAAGGTAAGCACTGTGCCACATGCTCTGTACTTGAATTGCACTCACCAAGCACCAGTGATGTCATCTGATGTACGAGAGGTGGCTATCTCCCAAAACAAAAAAATGGCACACTGACAGGGTTGGGAAGTACTGTTCAAGGAGTGTGGTGGAGTGTGTTCCAGAGTTGGTCACATTAGTCTTTGATATTCTTTAGTTTTTAGTGGTCTTTCCTGTTTTTTTAAGCCCTTCCAATTATTCTCACCATCTCATCACTCTCTGTCTTCATTAATCATCCAATTCTCAGTCTTTACTAATCAATTTAACACAACTAGGCACTGGAGAATTCATCTCAGTTAACTCTGTGTCAACCCCATCTCAATCTTTACTATTCACATTAACACATCACTGGGTCTGACTTTTGAGCCAAGAGACTGGCTTTCTCACCAAGCCACTCTCTACATATACATTCTTAGAGTGGAAATTACTGTATTTCACACCTTTGTGTAATAAAATGAAAAATATACAGAATTTCTTATACGTTACATGATAATGACTAAGAGGTGCAAAAACATATATAAATGAGTATAAATGCACCAAACTGGAAAATAACACAATAATTACACATTTTGTTTTCTGGAACAATCTCTGGAAAGTCCATGTCTTTTGTAAGAAGTATTGATGAAAAATAATTATATTTGAGGAACATGCACACTAGGCTGGGATTAAGTGTCAGTAAACCTTAAAATGGAGTAAGTGTAAATGTAAGTCATGTCCTATTCTGTGAACATTTCACTTTCCTATAGGTCCTTAGACATTAATTATTACCATTACACTAAGTGAAAGCAATCCTCTAAATTTGTAGATTTTAGATTTTAGAGTCTAGGAGTGTCAAGTTTCAGACAACCCCAAATCTCTTTTACCTTCTCAGGTTTCACTTTTTAAATTGTCTGGAGACCTCACAGCCTCCTTCTTTCTACTGAAGTTCGATAAATCACTTTCATTTAAAATAGCTCTCTTTAAGTAAATGCCTTGCTTACAGCGTTAAATGCTTTTTGATTCCAATTAGCAGCTACTGTATGTTTTAGACATTTCTCTTCTCACCTAAGGAAGGGTTACAGTGGGATGTGAGAGAGCTCTGCAGAGTGTTTCTTACTTTAGGTTTTATGCAGAATGACACTAAGTTGTAGTCTTCCCCTCCAACTTGTCCTGTCTTTCACACTGTCTCATTCATTTAAAAGTAATTTCAAAGCCCAGCATTGGCAATCACAAACCTCTGAGAGCAAAAAGGGATGTTGAACGAATAGCTGTATTTTTCTTAATTTCTTAAAATATGTTTGGAGTTCTCTGAACTTCTGCCTTTTCCCATTATATTCATCAAGTTTACATCCTGGAGGGATGGTAGTAATTCTCCAGCACCTAAACGTCAGTGTTTGTATCTGATTTTACATCTCTCTGTGGGGCAACTGGTGCCAGAACATTATCCCATATCTCATGTGTGTGGTGTCAGTGTGTTCTGTTTATCATAGAAAAAAAGATTCTTAAATGTTGTCAACAACCCCTAAATGTGAGAGAACATTCCCTGATCCTCAACATAAATATGTTATTATTTCACCTCTGTAAGATTAATTTAGAGGAAGAATGTTTTTCAAAGGGATAATTCTTCAGCGACGCATCATCTCTAGAGAGATGTGGAGAATATTTATGAGGTTTATGCAGCAATTGATGTTTTATAAGCATTGAGCCATTAAAGCTGAATGTATTTTATTCAGTTTGTGTGCTACCAAGAATATGATTATGCAATATCCTAGCACCTCCCTCTCTTAAATTGCTTGTCCAGTGACAGGGATTTTAGTGTTTGGGTCTAAAGCAGCCCTCATAATTCACATACAGCTCTTCTTTTCTATGGCTTAGGTATCATTATCTGAGCTAGTATTCTGTCTACACGATTTGTCATTCTGCTTCAGTTTTCACATTGATGTTGCACCTTCAGGACTGTTTGGACAGCTTGAGTGCTGTAAATCAAGTTATGGTTTTCAGCAATCTAATCAAGACTTAAGGGCTTTTCTGTTTCTGTTCTTTATCCCGCAGGTTGTGTGAGGTGCTTAATCTAGACCCCAGACATGTCCTGATTGCAGAAGTAATCTTCACAAACATTGGAGGAGCTGCCACAGCTGTCGGGGATCCACCGAATGTGATTATAGTCTCAAACCAGGACCTGCGGAAGAAAGTATGCAATTTTCAGCACTTCTGATAAATCTAGGAATTTAACCAGGGGATTCTACAGTGGCCACAGTAACTGATCCATTCATTGAATGTTTCATCTAAATCTTCATTTTAGATGTTTTAGGGTGTTCTCTAAGAAGAAATCTAATTAGGCATGGTTTAAATGTAGTTTATACAGTAGGGTTGGGATGCCTTTGATATTGTTGTGCTTGAATATTTAACAATATGCAATTCAGGACTTATTTTTTTACCGCACAATGTCACCAATTAAGATCCAAGAGTTAGGTCCTGAAGCAGTTGTCCTTTTTCCGAGGCCAAAGTCATGGTATGTTTTGTCCACTCATACATTTTTAAATATGTTATCCAGTACAGGATCACGGGTGTTTATCCTCGGTGCTTACCCTCGGAAGCAACAAGCGCAAGTCAGGGCACACCCTAGACGAGATGGACAGGGCACACACAGTGACGAACACGCACACACAAAACAGAACAGAAGGCCAATTTTCCCAGAAGCTAATTAAGCCAATTAACCCACAAGAATGTGGTTGGACTGTGGGAGGAAACCCACTCGAACACGGGGAGAACCTACAGATGGCATCCCAGGAATTGAACCCAGGGCCGCAGTTCTAACCACTGCACTGCTGTGCTGTAGTAGGTTTTGTCAACTCTTTAAATAATCAAGAACTCAGAGAAAAAGAATGATTACATTAATTGTATTTAACGAATAGCTAATTCAATTAGGCAATTTGTTACTCAGAGGAATTAAAGGCTAAAAACATTTTGCACCTCGAAGGCCTGGTCTTGTGAATTCATACTTAAGATATTGTTTGTGACATCAGATCTAGAAAGTAAGTCGAATTAACGATTTTTTTCTTGTGTTTAAGACTTGATGCCTCAGGGTTATTTTTCCCCAGCCGACATAGAGTTGTGTCTGGCACAAATAATATTTAGATTTATTTAATATGCTTTCTTTCATTAATCAAAAAGTTATAATAAGAACATACACATAAAATAATTTAATTCATAGGACAGTGATGTGTTAGTTTCAGAATGCAACAAGAAATGCATAAGTAATACAATACGATGCAAAGTGGATAGATATGTTCCAAGAAAAGAGTCCAGCTCTGATCTGTGTGATCACTGCAAAGAGCTGACGGGGGATGAGGCCAAGGTCAAACATTCAGGTGGTGTACAAGGCAAAGGTGACATTCTGAGGTCTGACAGAGATAAGATGGTTGGTTACGTGTTTCAAAGACAGTTAAGATTTCAAGAAGGGTTAGGAAGGAGGAAAGTCAGGCATCGTGATGACTAGGAAAATATTAAGAGTGGGGAATCAGAGTTGCTTCTGTAGATTGTGTAGAACAGAACCCTGACAGGAGAGGTACGGGACAACCTGCCAAGTGAGGAAGGTGGTGCTCTTGTGGTAGACTGCTTGTCAATGGGTTTTTGGCAGGAAATGCATCATTCTCATAAATCTGGAATCTGGATTGAAAGTAATATTGGTGACAAATTCAGTTAATGAAAAAAATAAAATAAAACAAATAATATTTTCTAACCTAAATAATAGAAGCTGAGTCAAAAAATAATGTTAGTCCATACTGCTGCAGTTCTTCATTTTAGTCATTTTTCTGTGAAGGGGTTATTAAGTCTTAAAAGATCAGGCACTGTGACAGTACCTCTGCGTTGAAGTGAACAGAAATAGTCCTTTCATCAGAAATGTGTTTTTAAAAAAATAATCAACCGTGGATGTAGCCTGGTTTTGTTGGTACTCAGGACTGTAGAGAGAAGAGTTTTCTTTCCAGTAAGCTAATGATGTGTTTCTCTGTAAGTTTAAACAAACCTATTTCTCTTATGGTGACAGTGGGGGAGGAGTAATACTCCACTGATAGTGCTGTTCAGACAGGGACTGATGATCTTTGATGGAGTTTGAGTACTTTCTCTGGAAACGTATTCCTTTATCACTGTGTATCAAAACGGGTTTGTGTTGCCTTCATTCTGATAAATAAGTTCGTACTTTTGCATCTGATACCTACAGTTGAATGAACAGCTTAAAAAATACACTCTGTTATATTTTTTGTAAATATTTATAAAGGCCATGCAAATATAAAAAACCCAAACATACCAGGTATGATTTTTGTTACAGATGACCTTTTTTATGTATTAGAAATTAGTAACATTTATGTCTTAAAGACATACCTATAAAGAAAATACTTAGTTACACACTTTTGCTACTTCAAAGTGTCATGGATGCAATCTTTAAAGAAACAAATTGTAAGAAAACTATGCAAGAGGTGGAATACTTTTCTAAGGCCCTGTAATTGCAGTATAGCCTGCTTAAGAGAAAACTGTATATTATGTAAAAAACACATGACGTAAGTTTAGACATTCAAGGATGGTTGTGACCTAACTCTGTGCTAAAGTCCCCTATCATTGTAGTTCCATGTTCACCTTATTTTTAAAAGTCTAAAAGAGTGCCTATTCTTACAGAAAAATCTTAGCAGTCTTAGCAGAAATCTTGGAAAAAAACTAGATTCTAAAGAATGTTCCAAGATGTGTTTTTGAAAAAAAATTCCTATTCCCTTTTTCTAATAAAGATGATTAATACAGAACTGTATACTGTAACTCAGTAAATGTTCTTATTTGTCAGACTCAGTAATTGCAAAAATTACCTGGAACTGTTAAAATGGGAAAATAATTTAGATTTCTTTGCTATTTTTATTTGATTTATTTCTAATAAAATGAAAAAAAACACACACTTTAGTTTACAGTCAAATTATACTAAGCATGAGGTTGATGGTCTACTGTTTCCTGAATGTACAGTATTTGTGTTTGTACTGGTGAAAGTAGTCATTCACAGCAGAGATAGTGAAACCCTGAGAACAATGAGTGTGCATTGTGTTAAAATTATTTTTCAAAAGTAAAATAAATAACAGCCTAATGCATCACTGCTGCTTTAATTTCTGCTTCTGGGTGCTGAGCTTTCCAGGCTCTATAGTGGTATTTGACATCTGTTCACCTTGCTTTAGAATTTACACCCCATTGGCCCATGGGAGAAGGTTGGAGAGGCAAAGGTTGTCATTGCTCAGCAGAGCCAGCTCCCTCTAGGTGATAGCACAAGGCAGTCAAAATTACCAGAGCAGAAGGCAGAAACAGGGCTGAACTGACCTTTTAACTTATAAGGTGCTCCACAGACAATGTGGTTAGCCAGGAAGGGTTCCTATTAAATTATTTTCTTTTATCCTTTTCTATGTTTTCAACTTACCGGAGTTTGAAAGTTATTTTTGGCTGTAAGGGAGAAGGATGGAGATTATCTTAAATGATCTTCTGCTGTACAATATACTGTATAGGTCTTTTTAAATGGCTCGTCAACTAAGAAGTTAACTTGTATACAGTAAGTCAAAAACAGAATACAATACGCTATGACAAAACTCATAGGGAATGCTTAGTAATATATATTTTTTTATATTGCAGACAAATGTAATGTAGTATTCTTATTTAGTATTGCAAACCTGACATATTTCCTTACACTTTTTTACTATAAGTAACAGGGGCTATGCATCAGCAGCTGTTAAGCTTTGTGGTAAATTCACTTCAGGACACCTTACAGTAGATACATTATGTATAAGAGAAGTCTTTCCTGTTATCAAGATCAAGAACTTATTTTGAGAGTGGGAAACAGCAGCCTAAATAAAGCCGAAGACCTCTGAATACGTCACAGGCTAACCTCCCTTCTCCCAGAAACAACTTTTTCACATAATATTTTTGATGCAAAGTACACACATAATGACTCAATGAAAAACCGTTCCTCTTTGAATGCCTTAAAGATAAAGAGGTCATTTAAATAGTGTTTCCTCTCTTTTTTTAGTGAAACTTAAATTGACTCATGTTATCACCTTAGTGGACTTTCCCTAGAGCACTCCCTGCAGTTCAAGTCTCTTCATCTTGGTTCAGAATTGAAGTGATCATTTTGTGTCACAAGTCGGTGAAAGGGCACACTCCTGTAAGTCTTCTACACTACCGGTATAACGGCTGCTCACAAGATTATTGACCTCTAATATCTCCACCTTTAATGCAGTGCAGTGGAGAAGTGTTAAGTTGTTAAGTGAACTGGAACTGGACTGGAAAGTTGTTGATTCTCTAGGTTCTCTAAGTCTGAGAGTTTGTTCCCAATTATCTTATCTGGAGGACAGATACAGTATAATAGGAGCTGTAAAATGAGAACAAATAATAGCTTTGATACAACTTTACTTCCAATGGATCCAGTCTTATATAACAGTTAATTACAGTTATTGCTTGGCCTAACAGGCCATAAACACTCGTTATTTGTTTGGTGATTTCTAATTTAAAAACAAACATATCCTGAGGGAGATTTTCATGTCATACATTCCAATAATAGAGAGCATGGGTATTTCCAATATCAGGAAGACTACAGAGGAGAGGAGGCAATTTAGGCCATCATTTTCATTTTGTTCAATTTCTCCATATTCTTATAGCCAGCAATTGTACTAGGAACAAGCATGAAATACCGCACCTTTTAAAACCCTCTTCTGAAAGGGACAATTTACAGCAGCTGATTGATTTAAACTACTTTAGGAGAAAACTAGAAGCACCTGGTGAATACTCATGAGAACACAGGGAAACAGCCATTAGGCAATAGTACAAACCGACATACTACCCTGCTGTGATGACTGGTCGAGTCAAATGGGGCACTAATCATGACTCCTATTTGAAGTATTCTTTAAAATTGGGAAGTATAGGTGTTTGAAATTATGCCCCCTCTGAGAAAATAATCTGGCAATTCATGGGTCTTAGTGGCTGCTTGGATCTTCTGCAATGATAAATAAGTTCAGTCTTCTTTTGCCAGTTTGGCATTTTCTAGTTTACTGCAAAAATGCCATGCACTGACATATTCGTCTATGCTTAATCCTACATATGTTCTTTTGAACCTGTTGCAAATTTTGATGTTTTCCTTTTAGTTGTTCTTTTTTTCATCTAGTACTATTA